AAACGTCAACCAAAAGTACATGGTGTTTTCATTGAGTTCATTGAGCCTTCCTTACACACCAGAGATTATAACAAACACAGACTATCACGCCTTTCTCACGCCTCGCAAAGAAATGGCTCATCTCAATCAAAAACTTGTATCGACAATGCAAACTAATGTGTGTGTGTCTGTGCGTGTAAGCGTGTGTGAGCTAATTGTGAAAGATTGAGTGTTGATATTATGCTGATTGGAGCAAATTCAAAAATTAGTTTTATGAATCTGGTCAATATTGTTGTGCTTTTTTCCTTGAATGTTTGGTTATATGAGCGATTACATGCTGGTGGAAATGATCACTTGTGCTGTTGCCTGGTTGTCCATCCATTCAATCTATTCCATTTGTTTTTGTATAGCCCTGAATCTCAACAGCAGTTGTCTCAGAGGACTGACAATGTTGTTGATTCACTAACAACAGATCAGAGAATCGAACACAGGAAATACATAGGAGCCATTGGTCCATAGGGAGCAATGTCTATAATGTTACTATAAATATCCATAATGTCCCAGATCATCACTGTCCTTAGACCATCAGCAAGGAACAACTCAATAAAATTTAAAAAAGAAAAACAGTGTGGGAAACCTAAGTGAGGCTCATCTTGAGAGAGTAATCTGCTCCCACGGGCAGACATGCTATAGATCCAGGCTGTAGAACGAGAACTGAGAGGCTCTCAGGCCGGGACGGGGAAGCAGTCGACAAGTAAGGGCGTCCAGTCCACAGGTGCCGAAGACCTTCTATGCACCTCTCTCTTTAGGTTAATCCTTATTGTACATTGTCCCAGTTTTCCTAAAAGAATAAACTTTACCTGCCCAACTGGACTTAAAACCAGGGTCTTGGAAGGATCATCTCTGGGTTTGCAAACACTCATCTTAGCTCCGCGTAGACGACTAGACTGTTTGGAGAAGGCTTTCCTCACACATGAATAATATCTTACATGGGTGAGGAGAACCACTTGATTTTTGAGCTTACAATAAATCTAATTGAGACATATGGTACCCGTCCCACTTGTCATGTTTACGTGTTTTGCTTCTCATTCACAATTCATGCTGCCAGAGACGTGGTTTTATTGGATCGATTTCCGTCCTGCCTCCCGGAACAAGTCCAGACAGCGACAGCCCTAGCGCGCTCTCTGCAGTTCGCAAACACATACCTGACCTGGCTCCACTACTCCACTCCTGGATGACAGCTAATGGCATTTCTGCTTTTGAGGAAATACAAATAGCACGCAGACACTTAATGGCTGTCATATTTTGAAGGGAACATGAGTAAAAGTGGAAAACAATCCGACTAAGAGCCTGTAAGGGTGATAACGACTTACCTCGCTTATATATACAAGCAAACCACTGGGATAGATCCTGGACATGGAAAGTGTCCAGGATCTTCAATGCCGGGCACAAGATATGGCCCGGCAAGGAGTAAATGATTGGCTAGAAAATGAGCATTTGTTTCGCTACAGGCTATTGTTATTTCAGTTTTCTATTTGCATACTCACACACACACACACACACACACACACACGCACACACACATAATGTTTTATTGTGACAAACTTTTTTCATTGACTTCAGTCCTTTTCATGCTCAGACATTAAATGATGAAAGAATGTTCACAGCATTCTGATATGAGATATGAAAATACATTTTAGGAGGAAAATATTTGTCCTTTCTTGAAATGGAAACTTCTGTATAAGTTGGCTAGCCTCATAAGTTTTGGAATGCACTTGTTATTATTATTGCGAGGAATATTATTAAGTAGTGATTACTAAGTACTACTTTACATAATATTGTGATTTTGGGACATGGTTCTTGAGGCGGATCAAATGTCATATCCGTTGTATAATGCTCTTTGCTGGCAGACTTCTTGTTTGTTTTTGTTAGTGCTATCGCAATTTCAGCTCGGACTAAATACCTGTTTTCAATTATTTTAAAATGCACTGTGTTTTCATATATCAGAATATAGCTTTGACAACCAAAATACTGTGTTTGAAGTTCTTTTTGAATTAATGTGTATAGATTGCTATTCAGTAACGCTCAAATAACATATTCTATGTATGGAGGTACGTATTTCAGTATCAAATGTGTGGTTTGATTCTAGTTAAAATGTTTATTAGATAGATAGATATTTTTTATAAATAGATCATACATTAGATTAGATAAGCACTACGGTATTGATTTAATTTTTTTTGCCACACAATATCACTGTGAGGATCAATTGTTTTACCAGGTCTATGTTGGCTGTAGATAAAAGAAAGTGCTGCTATGTGATCCACCATCATGCTTTTGAGGACATAGGGGTGTGTGTGTGTGTGTGTGTGTGTGTGTGTGTACAATCAACAACAGTGATTTGAACATAAGCTAGCTGAAGCCAATTACCAGGGCTTTTGTTCTGACGGGGTTAGCTTTTCACCATAACAGGGGGCAGATGCAAACTATCGTGTTGATATCATGGTTGCTACAGTAAGCTGGAGTTTCCCCTGTGAATGAAGGCATCTGAACTGGATTTACAAAGACAATATCAAACACAATCACAGAGAGCCCTAAAACACATATTTTTTCAGCCCAAAATGGTGAGTGTGGCACAAATGGTTATTGAGCCAAAGGAGTTTAGTATTTAGTCAATACGAGCCTAGACGAGTTGGAGCGAAACTTCTCCATGAGCTCTTCCCTATTGGGCTTCATTGAGCTAGCGAGTCAGAATTGTCTGTCTGTATACAGTCTATAGTTGCACACAAACACACACACACATATTCACACACGCTGCTGCGGCTGTACATCGTCACTTTCATCTCTCTCTCCCCTTTAGTTATGAGCAGCACTGGCCACAGACCAAGGGCACTGCATAATTCCAGGATACACTCTTTCAGATCCCGTCCAAGCGCGTGCGGTGAGACAGTCTGAGTAGAGCCACGATAAAGCCGAGTTTCTCTGCATGTCTTTTTTTTTCATGTGCGGCAAAACCAATTTCTGCAAGGAGATACTTCAGCTTGTGCAGATCCAAGCGTTTCCTTTATCTCTAGTCCGATATCGCTGGAGCCGTCAGAAGTTCTGCATAAAAGAGCCTGTGTTTCGCAGTGTGGGTACTGTTGCAGTTCTTGACAACTATGTTCAACTTTTCCAATAGAGATGGTTGAAAAGCTGGAAGAAACTAAAAAAAACACAATTCTGCTTGCTGTATTGAATGTAGATTTCTCATTATATGGCCTTCAATACTAACCATGCACTGGCTGGCATTCGGAGCATTTTAAGTGTTCAATCTATCTATCTAGACTCGAGACTTTTCTGAAAAATGACCTGACGGCATCGCCATGAATATATGAAAGCTGGGGTATCTTACTTTTAAACCACAACAAGATAACTATAAAAGAATCCATGTAACTAACCCATTCAAAACTGTTTATTTCTTTCATTATTTCACAAGCATATTTTTTGTTTGTCACATCTTTAAACCAGCTTTTTCAGACAGAAAAGTGCTAAAGAAAGAACCTCCTTCACTCAGCCAATCAGCTTTCAGCCCAAAGAGTTAAACAGTGACTCACAGGGCTATGTTTAACAAGCTGCTGAAGACAAAGAGATGATGACATAAGATGAAGACGGCGTGTTGTGGTCTGATTTGTTCAACATTTAACTTGAACTTTAACGTTGCGACAAAATGTATTATTTATGGAAACAAAACTTTGGCCCCTAAGCTTTAATGTAAAACTGCGGAACATCTGCAGGGAGACAAACCAATAGGTAGCCTTTAAAGTGAAGGACAACTACTACTATTTTTCAAATGCAAGCAGCTGTTAGACCCGCCCCCACCGGTGCCTGATTGGATGATTGACATCCGAGATAGACAACTGAGGTCCCCCACCATTGGCCTAACCATTCTCCTCCATCAGATCTCACTGATGAGGCTTGTTCCAAGATGACAGAATACATTTATTCTGATATTGATATAATACATATATTTGTTTTATGTAAGAAATTTAATTTTGTTATTTGTTAATAGGGTTAGGTGAAATAAGTGTTAAACTTCAGTCCAACCCTTTTCATCTGTAAATAATTTACAATCTTCTGAATGTCAAATATTTTCTTATTTTCTGCTGATGGCCAAATTAATGATATACTGTAGATAATACTACAGGGTCTATGGTCCAAAATATGTTTTCTTTTCAAACTCAAATACAATTAAAGTTGCCTTTAGTCACTTTTAAACATTGGAGAAAACTGATTTAAGATGTGCACATGCAGATAAAACTAAACTCACAAAAATGCACACAATATTTTACTTTGCGTCCTGGATTGATAATTATACCCCATAGTGTACAAAGCCAAGAATCATGATCCCATCATGCTGAATAAACAGTCCCATTGTTGTATGCAAACATTTCTTTTCCAAATTGAATTCAAAGTCAGCGATGTGGGACTAGTTCTGCTGTATTCATTTGCTTCTGTCCCATGTAGGTCTGTGTGAAAAGTCTCATCGGATGCATTTATTCAGAAGATATCAGATTCATTTTATTTGGCACTTACAGTAAAACCACATTGCAATACATTTGCAAAAGTCTCCAGTGTGCACAAGACAAGTACATGAATACAGTAAAGATACATACATCAAGACAGAGCTATGGCAACAGCGTGTGTCACAACTACTAAGATGAGGAGATCCTTTATTTGTCCCACTTTGGGGAAATGTCAGTGTTGTATCACAGGTTGCAGAACAATAAGGAGCACACAAACACAAATAGAGATAGGCTAGTATGGTATAAGTTGAATATATGTTGCTGCAGCAAGAAAAAGAAAGACAACTCCCTCTTGTGGCCTGCACAGTAACTTTGCTTTTATGATGGATGTTGAGAAAACACTTTTCATGCTTTGATGGTTACTGTATAATTGCGTTTGTTGGGGAAAAGAACTGCTGATTCCTTCATGTACAGTAGTGACGGGCTGCTTATAACCATTATGTTTGGTGTTTGTTTTTCCAGGCTAAGCGAGCGGTGCAGAGGGGTGCGACTGCTGTCATCTTTGACGTGTCTGAGAATCCGGATGCCATCGACCAGGTTTGTCGCAAGAACACTGCACCATTCACTTGTAGCAGGGAGAGGCTGTGTGTCTGGAGCTCAGAGCCAGTACCTAAGTGAACAAACGGTCTTGCTTGCTTAAAAATATTGGGATTTTTTTTCAAGTTTTTGGATTGTTCTTTTCTGGTGCCACTCCCTGCACCACAAAAATGCATTTTGACATGATTTAAAATGACTGGACTTCAGACGCTTTAGTTTCCTTTATTTCCTGACACATACATAATATTTCAAGCCAGAGATTTCTGTAATTGTGGCACAAAAAAGATAATTTTCCTTAGAGCAGTCTTCAAACCAGTGAAGCGTCTTAAGCAAACAGCTATATCCAATCTATGATAACTTCCTGTATTCAAGTTATTTTAAGCCTGACTAGATATTCAATCTTTGAAGTGCTTTGGCAACACTCTGTGCTAACTACTCCTCTATATTTTTAAATATGCCTAAATATAGTTTGAACTAACACTTAAAACTGGGGTGGCAAAAAGTTCTGTGAACAATTCAAGATAATTTGTATCTGTTCTATCAGTTGCATACTTGTGAGAAAACCCTTTGAGTCACTATTTGACACTTTGGGCTGAGAATCCTGAAAAAGATGGATCTAAAGATGTGAGGACAAAAAACACATGCATGTGAAAATAAGCGATAGAGAGCGAGGGACTAGTTAGATGGATTTTTAACATAGTTTCATTTAAGTTAAAAATTGGTGTGACAATCGGGTATCCCAGCTTTAATTCTCTCATATCAACAATAACTTAATTCAACATGACTTGGTGGAGCATTGTTCAGTGTTATTAAGTTACTGGTGACTCTATAAACTATTAGTTATAGTTTCAACGTTATTATTATGGTTTACTGTTACTCCCACTGTGGGATGTAAAAAACTATGAATTTTCATGACCGACCACCGAGCCTCATTAACCGGTTGAAACCGGTTAGCCGCGTAGTTTAAAATAGTCCACGTTCTTTGAAATAACAGCCATTTCGAGCCGCGTACTTTTCATAAGTGCAGCTCTGCGTTCTACTGGATCAGAGTTGAGACAGCGGCGCCCAAACCCGCAACAGCTCCGGCATCTTTGCGCACAGAGAACTGCTTTTTTAATCTTCCCATTCTGCTGTGCTGCGGGTTAATACATAGTTCCCACAGACCAATGAATGTCACATGACCTCCTCGTAGACGCCATCTTTGATGGCACGCTGCTGTGTTTGTGCATTCCATTAAACAGAAGAATGAGAATAAATGTAGATATTCAAACGCAAATTGGAAAAAAAGGGCAACTTTTGAGCAAATAATTGTATATTAATACAATGGCACCACAGTTTAACGTGCTACGGACATGTTTTACATATTTGATCAAATTATGCAGCAAAAATTAACAAGCAATGCAAACATTTCTCAAAAACTTTAGATTTAATACCAGTTGGAGCTCCATTTAATTATTTTAATTATATTAACAATTAATTTAATTAATGCTAATGCCACACGGACACTCTGGATTGCTGTTATTGTTTATTTCCGCGTTTTTGACCGTATGTTTTGGTGAATGGTGGGCAACTGATTTTTCCAGGCGTAAAGAGCAGTTTATTTTATGACACAGATCTTTTTACAGAAGCAATGCTGTTTGTGAACATTGTTTTAGCCCACCATAGAACTATTATTATCTATTTAATACATTTACGTTGCCCTCGAGAGCCTCGGACGCGACACCAATCCTCCTCATAATAAAGTAATCTAAATAATGAAACTCTCAAGTTACCAGATATCAGCATACACAAGTTAGTACTGAGTAAATTACGTCTGTCAACACATTATAAGATACGATACGCACCTGACACAAAGTGCTCCTAGCATATTCTTGCGTGTTTTGAGGGAGTTTCTTGCCTGTTTATCTTCGCAAGCCATAACCTCCGTGGTTGTTCTGACAAAAGCTTAGTCTTCTCACATTCATGAAGTCTAATGATGGGTATACTGTAAAATCCAAGTTTAACTGAACCTCCGGCACGATTAGAACATCCATTGACCCAGCAGGAGACGACCATTTTCAACTTTATCACACGTTTCAGCATCTTTTTCTATTTTTTGGCCCACAGAATGCCAAGACAAATGGCGCCGGGTCGGCAAATCCCCGTATGTAGTGACGTCATGTGGGAACTATGTATACCAAAACTTTCTAGCAGCAAACGACGGCTCGTTCACATGGTCAGAGCAGCGAGTGACGAGCCGCGTCTCACAGGTCTTCACAAAAGTTTAAATACAAGTGATGTGTGTGGAGCTGATCCCGAGGACCATAAACACAAACATGTTCCATGTGGTTTGACTGGAGCCGCGTATTTGCGCGAATCCTTTGGGCTCCGTGACACAGAGGAGCGCGACAGACCGGTGCGTGCGTGCGTGCATGCGTGCGTGCGTGTGTGTGTGTGTGTGCGTGTGTGTGTGTGTGTGTGTGTGTGCTCGTGCGGCGTGAGAGTCGTCCCGGAGTTTATAATACATGGGCGCACACAGCTAGATACGGACCCGCTCGTCACACCGTGCAAATAGGGCTTAAAATAGCGTTATTAAGAGACCTCCCCTCTCCCCTTTTTCTCTTTTTTAACCGACAGCTTTGACCGGTTAACGCTGTGACGGTCAACCACCGGTTAAACGGTGGCCGATTTACATCCCTACTCCCACAATTCATTTGATGTTTGCAATGTACTCTCCCAGAAAAAGAAGCTGGTGTTAAATGAATAAAGTCAAGTCATTTTAACAATATTGTTAAAATTAATTAAATCATCAATTAAATCCAACATGGCAGAGTTATTACCTTCACTATATCATCTGTTATTGTCCTGAATATGACATGTTATTTATTGGACAATAGGCCATGTTGAACACACAGTACTAGTACAGCATGTTATTTACGGAATCATTATTTACGGAATCATTTAATAAAAGTTCTAAAATAGAATTGGCCTCCCTTTAATTGCTCAGAAAATGTCCAACGTTGTTCTGTGTATGTAATTTGCCTTTAGTACTTTTACAAATGATGATTTCGAAGTCGTTGATGTGTGACGTTCCTGCTTTAGTTTGATGTAGAGCGTGTGACTCTGGAGCAAAGAGACTGAAGCTTTCTCTGCACTGAGCTCTTAATTATGCAGGTAGCAGGCGCGAACACTCATGACCTCATCCTTTAAGACTTTAGATGTGTCTGAAAGTTTGAGAACAAAGTTGTAAAAGAAAAACACTCAACAGTTCTCACCGCAGCATTCTTCAGTGTGTGAACGCACTGTGCAGCAGGGACACACATGACTGCCAGCTCCCATAGATCATTCCAACGCTGTTGATCGGGATCGAGGCAGTTTTTCTTTTGTCCAAGTTATTCAAGTCATTACAGTTTTAGTATTTATATAGCGCATTTTTACAGACCAAGGTCACCCAAAGCGCCTTACAATGTTCATAGTTCTGAGAAATATTGTCTTCTCTGCTGTTTGCTACATAATTTGTTAAAAATAATGTAGTTATAACATTTTTCATGCCAATCAAAACCCAATTAATGTTGAGGTACTGAACATTGTGTTCTTGTTGTATTCATTCAGCCTAACCTAGTGTATTGTAAATGAAGAACTGAGTCAGCTACACTTTGTCCTGCTTAGAGAGTATTTCCACTATTGCATACTTTAAAGGAAGAGCCATGTGAGTCACTAAGTGACTCTTCAGACAGAGGTGATTGGCGGCTGCAGGAGTCATCAGCCTTATTGACTTTGTGTGAATAAGCTGCTCTGAGGTCGTCCTTTGGCCACACATGTATATTTGTGAATACTATTGATGTTCCATAAGCTTTGTGACTGATAGTAACCTACATCACTGTAAAAGCAGGTACCCCAACTTTAATACAAGAGCCATGACTCATGCAGTCCTTTAAACTCCTGTTGACATTGTTGCAGTGTAGCGTACATAACACACAGGTTTGTCTCTTTGTGGCAAGAATTCTCCTGTGGTACTTGGAGTTTGCAGCGCCAGGCCTGGACTTGCACTTTCTTGGTTTGTTCCGCGGCCTCGTCTCGCTCCTCGTAAAGGCGCGGAGGAGCAGGAGATAAAAGGGATTGCTCGCGGACCACATGAAAGGCAGCGCTGGGCGGCTGTGTTAAATTCCCCTGAAAGGCTTTTCCAGTCAGGGCTGCTCAGGCAGCACAGACAGCACCCAAAGGCCCCGGGCGGAGGGGAGGAGCCAAGGCTCTCATCAAATGATTGAGATACAAGAGGTGAGGCGTTTGTCAAAAGAAACTTTCTGAAGCATGAGAACTTGTGTGTTCTCTCACATATGATTTATTTGATTGTGTTGACTTTACAATCAATAAGTGAAAGCTCTGACTATTGTTGTATCTCCCCAACTTCATTTTGGAAGTTGGGGAGATACAACATTTTTAATCGGTGCGTCTCTGAGTGGTCAGAAAAGCCCTATATAAAACCAACGCATTATACTTATTATAATTATAAAGAGTTCAATAGTAGCTGTAGTAGTAGTGGTACGAGAATAATTTATAGTTTATAAGTTTAATTAATAATCGTTAGAGCATAACGAGCATAAATAACAAGACTGCCAGTCTTGTTATTTGTATGCCATTATAATTAGTCAGTAGTGTAAATGATGATTGATTACTTTGAAAATAGATCTACAACATCAAGTGTTTAAATGTGGAGCAACCCACAGACATCACACACAGTAATGTAACTGATTCAAGTAACTTATCCAACACTGGTCACAGTACAGTACACTTTAAGTAAGATATTCATTGTTCTGGCAAAAGTAATGGTATAATTTGTAATAGTGGTAGTCCTTATACACAGAGTTCATGTAGTTGCAGTGAAAGTAGCAGGAGAAGTGAAGTGAGTTGTTCAAGGTCTTTGCGAAGTATGAATACAACACTTTTATTTAGTTTTATCCTCTTCATGTCTTTCTCTTTGGCCTCCAGAAAGCACACACTCTTTCTGACTGGTGTAGCAC